CATAGCTGCACCCCCCCCCCCCCGCCCCCCCCCAAAGGTCCTCCGCCTCTTCGCGAATCCCTTTCTCTGATAATCTTGCGTGCTGTGGAGCTAACGCGCCGCACCGAAATTTCGCTTGCCCAACAACAACCGTACTATCATCCTTTGTTTTGCGTGAGCAGAAGAAGCTGGTGATGGTGTCCGTGAAGCCCGAGGATGTCCTTGCCGACCACGTGGAACTCAACGTCAAGGGCATCTTCATGCCTCGCGGCGATCTCTACCGCATGATGAGCAGCATCGTGGGCAAGACCGTGTACGGCTCCAAGACCTTCCAAGTGCCGGTAATATTTGTATGCTTCCTTCGTGTTTTCGACAAGTTATCAGCAAACAAAGGCGTGATTATTTGACAGATACACCTTGGGGGTTGATGGAGTGATGTTCCACTTGTACGCGGCAAACCCTTGTCATGTGACAATATTGTGTCCTTTCGGTGGCAGTAGCAATGCTTGGCAAAGATACGAGGCAGAGTCAAAGCGGGTATTGGCACGCTTAAGGGGTTGTCTAGACCGCATGGCGTTACGTCTGTGAATGGTGTGCACGAACAGGTCATATGCTGTTATATACTGTAGTTTCATGTGCTGTAACTTGTGACATCAAGAAGAACTATTGTGTCTAAATTATATATATATTGTGATTCGGCAGGGTGACGACCGGGGCAACATGCGCGTGAAGGTACACCACGTGAACCGGAAATCACAGGCGATCTACGCAGGCGTCGTGTCCAAGAAGACGCACGTCATCTGCAGGTCCAGGTCGTCGCGCATATTCTGGCTCGTGCAGGTATATGCCGTACTGCTGCTGTTTATTTTCGGCGCCGCCGATGCCGGGCTCTCTCAGACTGCCGCGTTTGTGATCTCGTACAGCGCTGTTTGACGCAGCATTTCTCAGGGTTCGCTCGGGCTGGAATGTCTGTGTGGATATGAATAATTAGGACCGCGAACCGAGAAGTGGTGTGTGTGCTGCCTTGCGGCTTGTCCATGTGTGTGTTGCTGGATCAAAGTCGTACCGGATACAGATTTGTGTTGATGGAGAATTGCTCAAGCAGTGCAGACGCGTTGGAGAGCGCGACGTAGGTGCGAAATTGTAAACCTCCGCGGTGGCGACTTGAGTCAAATGGCCTACAACGAGGGGGCTCAGAAAGATGCGGTTGAGCAACCAAATCTCGACCCAAGTCCGATCCATTTACCAGCCCACATATTACTCTAAGCAAGTTCGGCACAATCTAAGTAATTCAGAGCAGAGCTAGGACCCGTGCTTCGTTTCGTGGAGAGGAGTAGCAATCGTAACCCCCCCCCGGCGTGCTGTTTTTTTTTTTTATCTGTCCCCTTATATTTACACACAGCTGACGCCAGAGATGTACGAGACGAACCAGCACGGAGACGTGTACTACGAGGTGTTTCTCCGCTTCGTCGAAGACCTGGTAGAGAGGTGGAGAGAGATGGATGTCACGCACCACCTGACCGTCGTTTTCTTTTGCCGGGTCTACTTCGCCGGGAACAAGGTGCGCCTCCTGGATCAGCGACGATGTGAAAATATCGCATGGTATCGTGTGATACGTCAGCGTGATGTGGTGCGAGCAACGACAGCACCGG